AAGAAATGGAAGACTGAAATGCTCCTCTTCACTCAAGGAGGCTGCCTCAGAACAGAAGATATCTCAATCAAGAGAGGAATCTTCCAGGGTGACTCGCTCTCTCCTCGGCCATTCTGCTTAGCACTAACATCGCTTACCAACATGCTGAATAGACAGGGTGCGGGATTTACAGTCGGTAAACACAACGCCATCAGCCACCTGCTCTACATGGATGACCTTCACCAATAACTGTTCACCAATAACGAATATGAGCTGGAGCAGGCCTTGGTAACAATCAAAGCATTCAGTTATGATATCAAAATGGAGTTCGGCTTGGAAAAGTGTGCAACCGCAATCTTAAAAGGTGGAGAAATATCGAGCTTGATGACAAGACAGCCCTACAAAGTCTGAACCACGAGAACACCTACAAATATCTTGGCGTAGACGAAAGGGATGGTATTCAGCATGCAAAGATAAAGGAGAACATTGCTAAGGAGTACTATCGCCGAGTTCGCCTAGTTCTCAAGTCTGAGCTCTGCTCAAAAAACAAGATAACAGTGATCAATAGCCTGGCACTCCCAGTCCCCGTGTACACCCTCGGGGTGATCAACTGGTTGCGATCAGATATCGAAAGGATGGATCGCAAGACAAGCAAGCTACTAACCATGCACGGTCTCCATCACCCAAAAGCAGACGTAGAGCGACTGTACATCAAGAGGCAAAATGGTGGTCGTGGTCTCATTGAACTAATGTCTGCGTACAACACTGCCATTGTAGGTCTAGGTGACTACATCGAGCTTAAGGAAGACGAATTTACAAACCTTATCAAAATCCATCAGTCTGGAAAATCAAAGCACGCTCTCTTACGCGAGGCTAAAGAAATCAAAGCCAAATACTTGTCTCCTCAGCCCACCAGCCAATCCTCAACAAAGCAGAGACTGAAGGCAAATATAGAAGCAGAGAAGATCGAGGTATTAAAGAACAAGCCTTTGCATGAAAGATTCTACAAGAGCCTCGACAGGCCATTTGTCGACAAGACTGCAAGCGTTGCCTGGCTGAGTAGTTCCGGGCTCAAGGGGGAGACAGAAAGCCTGATCATTGCAGCCCAAGAACAAGCACTCAACACCAGATACCATCAACGCAACATTCTCAAGCAACAGGTCAACAGCAAGTGCAGAATGTGCAGCAAGGCAGAGGAGACCATCAGCCACATCATCGCCGGATGCACAGTGCTGGCCCCAACCGAGTACATAAATCGCCATAACAAGGTAGCCTGCTATCTGCACTGGTCAATCTGCAGTAAACTTGGTGAGCAAGTACCTGAGAAGTGATATTAACATACTCCGAGACCAGTTACCAATATCTGAGATACTATCATAATGTGGGATATGGCAGTGCAGACAGATCGCACAATACCTGCAAACCGCTCTGATATAGTGCTCCACAACAGGAAAGAAAAATGATGCCTGTTGATTGACGTAGCCGTACCAGATTATTCTAACATCATGGTGAAGGAAAGAGAGAAACTCACCAAGTACAAAGATCTGGAGATCGAAATTAGGAGGATGTGGAATATTAAGACGAGAATTGTACCAGTGGTAGTTGGAGCCCTTGGCTCTATAAAGAATGGGTTTGATAAGAACTTTAAGGAACTCCTTGGCCACCACACTGCCCAAGAAGGGCAGAAAATCGCACTACTGGGAACAGCACACATCCTGCAAAAAATTCTGGATTGAATCCCTATGTCCCAGGTTGGGACACGGTCAACCCAGAAGCCACCGGCTAATGCCGTGATCCACTTTGGAAATAATAATAATGATAAAAACTTAATGTTGAAACAACTGCAGTTGCACGCATACACAAGTAGAGATGATATGCACATTAATTTATAATCATTTAATCAATGATGATGAAGATGATGATGATGACGATCAACAACTGTTAACTATGATGCAACAGATAATCTAGCAATGCACCAGGAGAGATTTCTATGCAAAATGTTATAAACACACACATACTAAACGCAGTACAGACAACAAAAACAACAACAACAACAACAACAACAACAACAACAACAACATCAGCAGCAACAACGTGTAGGTCCGTAGATGAGGTGCAGGCCCGTAGGCAGGTTTTTTTACGGGAGGGTGCGATCCAACGAGTATACGGACCTAACGAGCGCGGGAGGCGCCAGTCTCTAGGGGGTCTGGGCTCCTGGGGGCACGCCCCTGGGAAATTTTGAAAATTATGTTGTCTGAGACTGCATTTCGCGCGTTTTGAAGGCAGTATGATATGAAAACAGGCAGCCAAAAGCGAGCCTCAAAACGTGGATATTTCTCAAATTTTTTTAACCTCAAAATGTATTGACCTCCGCAGCCTGTGGGGGGGGGGGAGGGAAGAACGCACCCGTCGCACCCCCATTCCCTACGGGCCTGAGGTGGGAACATTACAAAGTCGACTTACGAGCGCACGGGCTGGTGGCGTTGGCGATGGGCGACAGCAGTCCTACGCCTGTCTCAATGCCGATGCACTGCACTGCAAACTCGTACGCGGTGTTGGCAGCGAGGAACTGCACGGTGAGGTTGGTACGCGGCGTCGTCAGAACCACCCACGTACGTTCACCCTGCAATCATCGGTGACCACAACTCACATCACAATGTACGTGAGGGACGTTTCTCCCTCCCATTGACCCAGTGGCGCCACCTATTGGTTAGATTGGTTCACGATCGCCTACATGCAGGGAGATAGATGAGGTGCGAGTCTAACGACACTAACTGCTGTAGGAGGGCGTGCTCTGACTGGTAGAAATGAGATAGGATTAGGTCAAGTGTCAGTTGGGCCCAGCAGTTTTCAGAGCAATTAGATATGGGTCGTACCTCCTATTTTTATTTCGTTATAATTTTATCATTCGTTTTCGGGTTACTCGTTCCGATAACGATTCTACTTGTTCCAGTTCTGTAATCGATAAATATTTTTAAGTATTGGCTGTCACCAGCGCCCTCTACCTGAGGTCTGTATCTCAGCTTGTAGGTGATGGTGTCGTCTTCCTTCCCTCCCTCGTCGACGCCATACTGCCAAGCTTTCCATGCCACCTGGAGGCTGGACGGGGAGTTAGGAATCTCGGTCACTGATGGAGGCGACACCAGGCGGGGAGGATCTGAAACATATCCGTGATTGCAAACGACTCATGGTTGCAAATCTACGTACATATCTAAATAAATAACTACGAGAGAAATCGTGAAGATCGAATATCATACATTTTAACTCTAACTTTTTACACACACAAAATAATTCAAGCTTTAAATTTATTTCAAGTAAAACACCTAATATTTTTAAATAGGAACGACGTCACGAACGAGACAAATGTAAAACAGTTTTCTATGTAATGCATCCGCACGCACCTACGATGGTGAGAGTGGCCTGCGCGCTGTTGCTGCCGTGCGCATTGCTCGCCTCACACGTGTAGTTGGCCGTGGCGGAGGGCAGCAACACGTGTTCACACTCCACCGTGTCGGCCATGGTGTTCTTGCAGATGGAAGCAAGCTTGAAGCCCCTATAGAAGTCAGGGGAGAAAAGCCGCAGGCTTGCTATATACTCACTGAGTCACGTATGAGTCGCGCACGTAGAAATGTATAGACGATCCAGCCTATCTATAACCTATCTAGCGCATTATTTTTATGAGTACGTAAGTAACGTGAATATTAACATAAAGTAGAAGGTAGTCTTCTAGATTTTTTGAAACCCTTCAGTTCCTGTTTATTATTCTAACCTAGCTGACTCCTAGCAGAGTTTAAAACAGCTTATTAAAAATATTATGTTAGCTATCTTAGAATAAACCATCATGTCCAAAAAGAAAATTGATAAAAGTTATATATTTCATGCACGCACGCACGCACACACGCACGTACGCACGCACGCACGCACGCACGCACGCACACACACACACACACACACACACACACGTGCGCATGGACACTCACACGTACACATAGGTACACATGCACGTACTCACACAAGTACACATGCATACACACATAATGCATGCACGCGTATCTATACACATTTCACGAGACCCTAACCAGTACCATAATATTTGTATATATATATATATAGGGATATATATTATATATATATATACACGCACGTGCGTACACACACACACACACACGCGCGCGTGTGTATTCCTAATATATAGTACAACATGTTCACGCATGACTTACTGAGTATAGTAGCAGGATGGCAGTGAGCAGAGCAGGCAAAACAAAAAGCTCCTGATACAGCTGTCGTGTGTGATGCACAGCACATGCTCGATATATAGATATATAGATAGATACACAGCAGCCTCACCAGCGCATCACGGAGAAACATTTTATTTTCGATTCGAAGTTTCACGTCCACCATTTTTCCGTCGAAGTCGTCTGACAAAAATGTGACATCATTTACAGTCACGTCAAAAATGGTCGGTTTTGGAAATCGACGCTGCGGTGCTGCCAGCGAGCTACTGCGTGATATTTACAAAACTAGGACGTCGTGAGTTTCCTTCCTGGCATGCTAGCGACACCCATAGCGGATAGTCAGTCAATCCATATCCTGTCCCCACGTTCACTTCTCACAAGTACAGCAACGATTTTGCGCTTATCTAAACTCTATGCGTGTTATTCGAAACCTATGTTGTCCGTATATATCACATAGTGCAAGTCGCTGAACTAACACCAGGTGGCGCGCATTGCAGTTACTCACAGGCACTATTTTTTCATCACCCATGAGGAATCTCTGAATGGCACTACAGATTATACAGCTGTATTTGAATTAAGAATATGATTACGTATCAGTACAAAGGAAACTGCTACCAACAACACAATGTATAAACCGTTAGGTTCCCCCGAATATAGGCATGTTTAAACACCCGCCCTTTCGTGAAGCCCAAAGTAACCGCGGTACAAAAAAGTCTGCCCACTTTCCCGCTTTGCTACTTTATTTGTGCTGTAGCGCCAATAGCAAAATGTCTTACTTTCGTTGCACGTAGGCCGGACCACCCTTCACTACACAGGACAAGTTCCATTCGCAGAGCAGCGTGGCATTATTTTCACACAGGAGGCAAGCATCTTCCTCCTTACGTAATGGCTTCGCCTTCAGAGCTTGAAATCGCTCGTTACCATCGCCTTCCTGTGTCGTTAGCTCTGAGGGTCGATGAGGTTGTTGTTGCTGCTGTTGTTTCATTAGCTGATGACATAGTTGTTCTTTCATTAGCTGATGACATAGTTGTTCTTTCATTAGCTGATGACATAGCTGTTGTTTCATTTGGTGACAACATTGTTGCCGTAGCTGTTTCATTTGGTGACAGCATTGTTGCGGTTACATTCAGTGAAGAGATCGTTGCTGTTGTTCCATTTGTTAAGGTTATTGTTGTGGGCTCCTCTGCTGATGCCATTACTGCTGCTGCCACTAGGCGATGGTGATGCTGCTGCTATTGCTGAGCTATTTGACGATGCCATTGGTGCTGTTCATTTAATGACAAAGTCGTTGCCGTTCCATCTGGGAACATAAACACATAAAACATTTCTAGTAAAGAAACTGATGATACTTCACGTAGCTATTTAGGCTTCACTGATGGTGAAGCCAGGAACTCAAGAGGAAACTTGCATAGGACATAAAACATGGACATAAAATATAGGAATACAATACATAAATATAGTCTGTATACAATTCTGTTTCACTGGTGGTAACTTACTGAGAAGATATGCATTTGTGTACGCGTTGCCATATCATATTTAGCTATCTTATAAATCATGAAATTCACGTATCCTTCAGTATAGCTGTTATACTACTACCGCGAAGATAACTATACAAAGTATTAGGTTATAATTGTATTCATATGTTAAATATATATATATATATTATATATATATATATATATATATATATATATACATATTATCAGGAGTAAATAATAATAGATATCTATAATAATCTATTATATTCACTCTGATATTATTGTATAGATGTGTTATAGTATTACACAATTCCCTGTTTTTAACACTGCTTAGCCAAAGGTATCCAACTGCAACAGATTTAAGGCGGTTTTCGAGGTGAACAATCACGTACATATATTACAGAAATAAATAATAATAAATTAACTAATTATAACTTCAATAAATTTAATTATAATAATAATTTAAAATCGAATTATCCATAAATAAAATTGGAAAATGATACTTGTTCTTGACACCACTATTAGATTAGAAAAATATTAAACGAGGCAGTGTGAACTTCGCGCGTGACTATATGCACTGGTATTTGGCAGGAGTCCCCCACCAGCCGTATATGCATCCTCGCTGCAGCTGCCTGTAAAGATGTCACAGTCGTCGCCACCCAGCCGGCAACGACACTCGCTCTGACAGTTGCGCCAAACCTCCCCGACGAACACTCTGCCAATAGTAAACGGTAGTCAGTATTCACACTAACACGGTATAGTGTGTCAGGGCGAATCTAGCTTTCAGGAGACGGGGGGGGGGGGTGATATTTGAGTGAAGCTTTCAGGAGACGGGTTGGGAGGGCTGATATTTGAGTGAAGGTGTGCCGAAGGCACGCGCGTGCTAGGGTGGCTCGGGGCATGCCCATCCCACCTGAAAATTCAGGCAGCTGTGTAGCCACAGCGGAAATCCCCAGTTTCTATCAGCCTACAGACTGACTTTTTTATTTTGGCCTTATGTTTACTAGTATCATAACATTAGTCAGTGTGCGGAAGGGACGGGGGGGGGGGGTGCAACCCCCTCTAGATCCGCCACTGTGTGTAGTAGCAGTATTCTATCAAAAGTGAATGAAAAAATCGTTTTTATTTATTACGACTATTATTATAAAATTATTTGTTTTTATACATCCTGATACTATGAGGAGTAAAATAATATCAGTAGTAAATAAAAACAAATGATTTTATTCACTCCTGATATAACAAACAATGTTACGCACGCACGCACGCACACACGCACGCACGCACGCACGCACGCACACACACGCACGCACACACGCACGCACACACGCTCACACACACACGCACGCACACACGCACACACACACACACACACGCACACACGCACGCACACACGCACACACACACACGCACACACACACGCACACACACACACACACACGCACACACACACACACACACGCACACACACACGCACGCACACACGCCGCAACACACACACACACACACACACACACCACACACACACACGCACACACACACGCCACCAGCACACACACACACCACGCACAGACACACGCACGCACACACAGACGGACAGACGAGCAGCTTCTTACTCTCCAGGCATCCCAGCAGTGAAGCCTGACGCGCAGAGGCAGCCGACGGCGCGGGGCGACACAGGTGGAAGTGCTGGCAGCCGTAGTCAGGGTCATCGGCGCTGGACGTCAGACAGCGGTTGGCGCACGCTGCCCGAACCTGTTGGGCGCACACGCCTGCGGAGAAACAAGCGCAGGGGAGGGCTGAGCATGGGACGATCGTGGACGTGTCGCGAGGCAGTCCTGAGACCGCCTTGGGTAGTAATGAGAGAGTCGCGAGGTTTTCGGACAGATTTGAGACAGTACGAAAGTTGTCTTTTGATAATATGAAATAGATTTAGACAGATTGAGACAGCCATGAGACAGTCATAAAGATTTAGGAAAAAACTTGAGACAGTATTGAGACAGCAGCCATGAGACAATTATAAGTTAAAAAAAACTTGAGACAGTATTGAGATCTCCATGAGACAGTCATAAAGTGTTAGAAAAAACTTGAGATAGTATTGAGACAGTAGTGAGACAGTACTTACTGAAGTGATCTACAATTAGTATTTGAACAGGACTTGAGAACAGACTCAGACACTCATGCAGAAGTCTATAAGTATAGTCATAGTATAATTTAGTGCATTGTATAATAGTCATATATATATATATATATATATAGTCTAGCATAAGTTCTATAAGAGCTATCGACTATGTAAACTACTGAGGTTTCAAATCGGCAACGTGACCAGATAACGGGCAACCCCGTTTCTAACGGGTTCTTATCTAATATCAGTGTTACTAGGTTAACGGTGACAGATGATGTCTGCGTTGCGCGCGTGTCCGCCTGTGCGTCACCTGACCCTAAAAACGACAGCGACATCGCCGCCGCCCGTCTGCGTGTAAACAACCTAGCTACCTTCAAGCACTGAGCACCTGAAACGTCGCGGGGCAGAGCAGAGTCCGCTTCTTCCATGCACTTCCGCCGTGATAGCACGCTTGGCACTCGTTCTCACACTCAGCTCCCCAGAATCCACTCTGCAACCTTAACACACATAACACACACGTACATGTGATATAATATATATATATAACGTATAGCGTGATATGGCCTTCGGTAATACGGGACAGCGAGGCTACATTTTCCATCGAACACAAGCCAAACTACGAGCGAAAATGTCATGATTCGTGTTGTAACCAAGACGATTTCATCGTAGTTCTAATCGACAGTAACTCCATCTAGTAACTCAAAACGACAAAAATTGCTAGATTGCTATCACAACGAACTTGGTAGTGTTGTTAACAAATATATCATTTATATAAGAGAGGGAAGAGTGGAGAGAGAAAGGACTATATATATATATATATATATATATATATATATATATATATATATATATATATATATATATATATATATATATATATATATATACTAGATAGATAGATAGATAGATAGATAGGGAGGAGAGAGAACGAGAGAGAGAGAGAGAGAGAGAGAGAGGAGAGAGAGAGAGAGAGAGAGAGAGGGGAGCGAGCGAGAGAGAGAGGGGACCGAGGGAGGAGAGAGAGAGAGAAAGACGGACAGACAGCAGAACAGACACACAGGCCAGACAGCCGGATGCGGACTCGCGCGATCACACGTACGATGCACGACAGGTGCACGAGTCCGTGCAGCTGCTTGCTCCTCTCTCCCTCCACGTAGCACTCGTACAGTCGCGTCCGCCGCCGTCACGTTGTCAACGCGACGTCCAGCTGGCCATCCCACTCCGGCGCGCACGTCGTCGTGCCGCATCGCAGCAACGCCTGCAGATACACAAGTCGAAAACCCGTCTATCACCAACGTCACGTTTAACGAGACCGCGAGAGCGAGAGGGTACTCGCAGAGAGGCTCTCATTTTCGGAAGTGTAAGAGTACGCACTTTAAAATGGACAGGGTCTTCTTCAGGGTGTTGCCTGTTCTATCTACCAAAAAATATGTCCTTTGTTCGCAGGATGGAGGGACGGAAATGCGCGTTCAAACCGACGCTACTCACCTGTTTTAATACGTGATACAAAATACGTGATCATATGTGATACGCGGATTCACTCCACTCCCATGCGCCCAGGGGAGGCGCGGGAGAGGGGTCGTTTTCGTAAAACATTTGGAGAATTAGGCCTTATTAGCGATGGACGCCTAAAGCGTATTACGATATAGGATTGGCGCTAGCTAGATACAGGCTGAGCTGCGAGATATCCCTACGTTAAAATGTAAGCGCAAAATATTATCAGGACTATATATACCTATTGTAATATGTTTACGTATTCTTAACGTGAATACATAGTGCATTAATTAATATAAAAATTTGTAGTGTTCTTAACGCTGCAGATAATGATTGATACTCTTGCCTATCGCGGAATGACAAACATACGTACAAGGTCCGTTTGTTACTGGCTTCCATATGCAAGACGACGGAGTCATTCAAAGAAGCGGATATCGGTGAAGTCTTTCGCTATGACTTGCGCTTAAACGTAGAACATTACATGTACAATATGAAACAAAAACTACCTAGAAATAATCAGCGAAATACTCATCGATGTCCACATGTAATACAAGAATCTTATCTATAGTATATACCACGAACAAATATATCAATATATCAATATATATATATAGATGCAGTGGCGCGATCCAGGGGGGGGGGCACGGGGCGGTCGTCCCCCTAGAATTTCAGGGCAAGGGTATTTTAGCCTATAACACCCTCCCCTCGGGAGCTTCGTGCCCTGAGCTCGCATGATTCGCCCCCCCCTCCCTAGAATTCACTTCTGGATCCGCCTGATTATGTGTGTATAAATGCGTTATAGATATTATGAAAAATGAATCCAAAAAAATTGTTTTTATTCAATCGCATTAGTTCATGATGCTATTAGATAAAAATTCCCGGGAAATAACAGAGCCGTTAACACCGATATGAGTGTGATAAAAAGAGTGAAAAAGTAAGTAGTGAGAGGTTAGAGACCCAGGCACGCATGCTTCATTTATACAGGGTCGGATCCAGGATTTTAAAAAGGCACTGCCAAATTTTTTTTCATTACTCTTTAATTCATTATTTCACATATTATATGGGTTTCGCGTCCATAAGTTATTAATGTGAGCTTTTGGCGTAGCTGATTGAAATGCGTGCATTTGGCAATATAATGTAACTCATCCAGTGCATCTATACAGGCGACCGTAACAGTGGCGCCATGCTGCATGGCGCCG